GAGGCACAGTAAATGTGAAAATACATTACAATTTTACAATGGTACACTTAAGGACAGAATCCATTTGGGAAGAGTGAATGGAACCTGAATCCCTAGGCAGAGTTGGTGAAGGCAGTGCTCTCCTTCTCATTTACTCAATTTTTCCTCATTTTTCCTTTCCTTCTTTCTGATCTTTTGTTACTACTACAACTTCACAGTACAATTGTCTACCCAATCTAAGAATTCTTAAAGGACTTTAACCACTAAGTCTTTGGAAAATGCATGGCTTAAATTAAAACTGGATAAGGAATAGTTCTCTTTTTCACTTGAATTCAGAGAAGTGAAAATAGAATTCAATAAAAAATGACTACAAGCGAAACATTTCCTCATGAAATGAAATTAACAATAACAACAAATGCTCTTTGGTTTGGGGAATTCAAAATGTTTCATTATTATTTCTGATCTTTTTGTTTCATGTGAAATAAAGTAAAACAAAAAGACGTTGTAAAAATGAGAAAAAAAAAGTACTTGCTGCTCCCAGAAGACTAAAAAGAAAATGTTTCTACGGAAGTGTACTATTATGATTTTTCAACACACCATTTTATCAGAGTTGATGTATTCCCATAATACATTTTTCTTTTGACAGATTGACATTTCCCAGTGGAGGAATGATCTCAAAGACTGTTTCTGATGTGTGCTTTCAGATGATCTGCAGTTCTCAAAGCAAAGCAGAAGTTGTAAGATGTCAAAAAAGCTATAACAATCCTGTAAGTTTTTTTTTTTTTTGAAGCAGATATATAATTATATTTTGTATTCAGCCTTAACGAATAACATAGACAAACACAGTTGTGACCTGATATCTCTTCATCATGAGAATGTAGATCCTGTAGAAAATCCTAGTGTGATACTCAATATTTTGGCTCTTAATAAACATTTCCTATTGATCTGTGAAGTTTCCAGAGTTCAGTAGCTGCTCAGAAGCTCAGCAGACTGAATTTACTTTTACTGAAAAGTACATTTACTAAAAGAAAGGCATTTATTTCTTGAAAGCAAATAAATAAGATTGAGATTCAGCTTTTAAGCAGAGATCTTCTCTGAGATTGATGAGAATTACTGCTTTTTGCACTTAATGATGGCAAGATCTGGCTGAGAATTTAGACCATTTTTAAACTGTGAAGCTGTAATTGTGCCGACACTGCTATGAAGCCAGAATAATTCCAACAAAGCTAACTTACACCAGCAAGAACTGAGAAAAAAATGGCTCGTTATCTCTTTTCTTCTTGGTAAGATGTACTTCTTTTATTCTTACAAAAATTGGTGTTCTTTATTATTAAATAATAATAACAAAAAAGTTATGGGCACATTTTTGTCCTCTATAAAATGACTCCTTGTTTGTGCTATTGTTTGTGTTGACAACTGGTCTTTAGACATCAAACCTTTTACTTAAAAGCATGAGCATGGAAATCATTATGTTATCAGTTCTGAGACTAATAGAATTATATTTCTTATTATACCTTGCACTATCAGAGGACATAGAGGTTGTTAGCAACTGACTGACTTACAAATGTGTATGACAAATACAAAAGTAATGTGGTCATTTGCTATGTTATCCCATTTTCATTTGAATAACATTCCTTGAACTTGCCATGGACTATATTACAAACATAGTGATGTCTAAAAAATTTGCAGCCTGGGAAGGTGGCCAAACAATATCTATTTACTGCTTTACTCTATTTGTTTTTTTTAATTCTAAAACTAAGAAATGTAAAAGAAAATTACCAAGTAGTAGGTTCAAAACCAGTTCTAGGAAATGGTTCTTCCCAGTGTGTTAACTATGTAACTTTTTGACAGAGCACACTACGAAAGATAAGACTTTATGTGGGTGCAAATCAGTGGACATATATAGAAATAAATGTGGAATATATGTGGAATAAATAGACAAGCTCATAGAAGAAAAAAGTTATTAGTATTTTTAAATGCAAATACATAACTCACTGATCCAACAAATCTTTTGAACAGAAATTACTAAAGGCTGCTTCAATATTTCAGAGAAGTATCATTATTTGCTTGTCCTATTCCTACTGTAGTGAGGTACTCCATGGATTTGGGGCTAGACAGACCTTTGGATTGACTATGTACAGACATCCTTAAGCTTTCATATATCCTGTATTGCTTTTATCGCATCACAGCTCTAAGGAATTCACACCTCATTTACCCTGGGGTCACTACTATGATCACACAACCTTGTGAAAGGCTTGTGAAAATTGAAATGGGTGGAGGATATGGAACTGAAAGCTAATCTGAGTTACAAATCTTTCTTTAAAACATTTATTTTCATGTATTTTCCACTGCTGTTTCGTCAAGCTCCTGCAAAGTTTATCAACATGTTTGTCATTGAAATTTCCATTTACCTAAAACACTACTGCCTGTTGCAACATGAAATTAATCCATTGACTGCAGACCTATTCACCTATTTGCAGACCTATTAATAACATTCTTTGCATGCTTCAGTAGTCACAGACAAGCCATACATCTAATAACTGCTTTTGAACTACTGTCAAGCTCTTTTAAAACCTCATTAAGACTGGATTACTTGTTTATATTAATCCTGGTGGCCTTATGCCAGTAGTCCTGATTTAAACTGAATATTGTAACATGTTGCCCATAAGACTAGAGGAGATGGCAAATTTATAATTGAGGCTGAAAGAAATGGAAAAAGAGGACACTTTCCCCAAGGCATTTCTTGGTTTGTTGGATTGTCCACAAAAAAAAAAATCTATCATAAAGTTGAGATGGATAAACAGTTGCTTTTAGTTCATTGGCAATGAACTCAATAATCCACATATTCTCTGATGCCAACAGGGGTGCTTTTTACTTGCCACCCAGGCATAAAATATTTATTTGCAATATAAGTACCAAATTCTCCATGCTTTGCATATTTATATTGCATTTTGTGGTAACCACAAAAATATTCTGATCTTTCCAACTTTACAGATGAGGAAAACATAGACAGAGAGAACTGACCTGCCTGAAGACATAATACGTCAGCAGTGGAATGTGTGAGGTTTGAATCTGTAGCTCTCAGGCTTGTCCAAGCCAGTTGACCAAGGTGGTCTTCTCCCCATTATTACATTTTATTTCTGAATCCAAGAATCAGGAAAATAGTTTCAGATCAATATGGGAGTTAACCATTCTGGAAAGTTTCACAGTGCAAATTTTGCTCTTTGGAGAGAAGTTAGATGATGATGAAACTCAGTTGGCTTTCTGCATAGACAAACATGGTATGAGAATGCACTACTCAAGACATTCCTTTATACGCTTGCCAAATTTAAGATTACTTCACGTTTTCATTTTTACAGTCATCCATCAAAGGCTCAGCCCAGTGAGTCTTCTCCACTGAACAGAGAAAGGAAAAATGAACAGTCCCAGATAAGTGCTCTGAATTCCTTTGGTTGTCACTGAGGAGATGTGCTCTCAAAATCCAAATCCCTCAAGAAGACAGCACCAGAGAGGAAAAGTTGGCTGAGACAGCTTATTTGCTACTCTAGGTATGTCAGTGGCAGATTAGCCAAATTCTAATTGCTGTTCAAAGTGGACTAAAGTATTTTCTTTGGATGGATTTGAACAGAATTGTCAGGGGAACGGGTTTTTGGAGGGCTTCCCTGAAATTTATAATTCTAAAGAAAGCAGTGTTGCATTTTTGAAGGCTAAACTGTTAATGCCTATAGTTTTTAGAGAGTGCGTAAAAAAAGTGTGATAGCTTCATCTATCTTGAATGACAGACACAGTCTGGACAGGACAGGACAGAAGACTCATCTTCTCAAGAAGGCAGCACTCTGTGGAAAGGGAGTTCAGCTTTGGGAAACCTCCTTTGCCTCAAGTGCCTTTTATTTTCTTGTAATGAGTGTTATCACCTGTGTTTTGTTATGTAGCCATGGCGCTCTTTTTTATCTTCTCCACAATTTAACTCTTGAGCCAAAGTATGGACTCACTCAACTTTTTCCTGATTCCATTTGTTTGATATCACCCTTGTCATAGAATTCTGTGGAAAGCAAGACCAAATATTCGGCAGTAGGCAGAATGTGAAGCCTGTCTATGTGACATCTGACTCCTAGTCTAAATCACATGAGCAAATTACTCTTGATGGAGCATAATCTGACAACGACCATGACTTACTGACCTAAACTAAACTTCACCTTTTTCCCCCACAGGAGTTTTAAAAATACTTTTCCCAAAGGAAAAATGCTGCCTCTTGAGTAAATCAAGGTCAATGAAATAGGAATCCATAGAAAAACTTAGATTGGAAAGAATGCCTGGAATTACCTAATTTAATTCCTACTCAAAGTAGAACTTACTTCAAAATCAGGCTCGGAACCTTGTTCAATACTGAAAATTTCTCAGATTATTTTTGAAATAAGTTACTTCCATACAGCACTATAGAAAATTTTGGATCTTTTTTGTTGAACAGCTTAAAGTACTTTTGAATTCTTTTTAGTCTGGATAAGATGTGCTAGCCTTCTTACTTTCATTCATTTCTGCCATTTGTTTTCTCCCTCTACACAAGCAGCAATGCTTATAGTTCAATTGCTCACTGCAAAACTTAGAACTTCTTGTGGGGCTTAGGCACCCATATCAAAATATTAATTCAAGCATTATAAAGATTACATGATTTCGAAGACCAGCTGCATGTTTTGTTGTTGTCCCAAGACCTACCAGTGACTCACAGGCCAATATGAAGGAACTGCTCTTTTCAGGACATCTCTATATCTGCACATTCCACCTCCATCCTGATTTTTTTTCATGTGCATTGAAAGAAAGGTCTGTGGGTTCTGTCTGCCACTCAGGCAGTGTTATTCACAGCTGCATGTACTTGAGGAATACTATTGTTGATCCTTACATGCCTTGGCCAGCTGTTTCCAAGATTTCAAAACAAGATGAATAAAGCCTTTGTTAAGCCTGTCAAATGCTTCCCCTCTCTGTTCCTGGAGCCCAAGAGGACATGAACCACTTTCTACTTTATAATTTCAGCCTTTCACAGCTGAGAACTTGGTTTTCCTGGGAAGACGTGCAACATTCAGTCAACTGCTATCCCCATTTTATCGGTAAGAGATATATCTTGTTTGGTTTCTACCTAAAAGGAAATACAAACAAAACAGGAATCATACACCCTTATGTGTTTCAAACATAAGTGCCCTTAGCTCAATGTTTCTACCTCTGTTTTCATTAAAGTACAAATTTGGTGAGCTCTAACACTAATCTTTTCATATCTCAGCATGTATGGTAGCATTTTTTGACAAATAAATATTGTATTTAATTAAGGCTCAGAGACCTTGTTTTCTGAGCAAAAATAAAATTGTCGTTACCAGTTCTTCAATAAGGAATTACAAAATGATGCACCACTCTTCTGCTATGATAATTACTATCATTCTGTTATATCTGCAGGATAAAATTGGCTGCTTTTACTGATACTTCACCATGCATTTAATAACAACCTTCCTGCCATAAAGCTTTTGCCAGTAGAACTGGTTCTTCTCTTTCACTCTCACATTTTATGGGGGGAAAATGAAACACTGAAGAAATATCGATTCTCTCCTTAGAATAAGTGAGGTCAGTGTTCCCTTTCCATCTCAAGACAAGGTGGTGCATTATATTATTTAAGATTTTCTTTAAAAAGGGGAGATGGAGAAAGACAATGATGGGAATGTGTGACACCTTGAGAAGATCACTGGTTCTCTAGGGTAGAGAATGACAGCTCTGGGAAAGATGAAATTAGACTGTGGAGGGTGCAGAGGAATGAACAGAAGTTTGAAAGAGGAGCATGTTCTTCTGACTAATTTCACACTAGCATCAACTAGTGTGTTGTTGCACCCTGTTGCTTGTGGTCTTTGAACGCTATGCCCTTTTTTCCCATAGAAAACATAGTGTCGAACTGTGTTTGTAACTTTATTTTCAAGCAGCTGGTCAGACAACCAAATTCTATCATTACCTACCACCATGTATTCTTCTTTAGATCCCATGACAGAGGTCTTGGGAAAGCACATGTTGAAAGCACAAGAATTTAAATCTATGCCCCTCGGTAATTCTACAGAGATAAGAATATCAGGGAAGATACAAAGGGACTGCAGAGGGAGTGCTCTCCTTTTTCTTATGTCCCCTTTTTTTTTTCAGTTTGAGATCTACACATCCTAGAAATGCTAGAAAAATATGGGTCTTGGAGGCAGCACTTTTTCCCTTGAAAAGTATGACTTCCCCTGAGACAAAAGCTTAGCACTTAGTGAGGAAGAGAATTTGAAAACTGGATGGAGGAAATGATGGCTAGCATTGCAAAATCATGAGCAACTAGTAAAATTTTTTTTTTCTGTCTTGAAGAAAATGTCTTCTCTCTCAATAACTTTAGCTTTTGTAACATAAATAAAATCTTGGATTTTCACAGGAGTGCCTTTCATTTTTAGAAGATGTTTCCCTTGACATAGGCTGATTCCTCTGCAGTGGTTGTGGAAACGTCACGGAATAAATGGTAAGTGTGTGGGCACCCAAAGGCCAAATCTCCTTTGCAGATGATGCACCTTCTTAGACTTTTGAGGATCCACTGCTAACTTTATTGGACCCTTCAAGTGAGAGATTCCAAAACTGGCATGTTATGTCTAGTCTGCAAAAGGTTGGACTATCATAATTTGAGGTAATGCAAGTAAGGCCATTATTTATTTATAAAATAAATTATAAGCCCTTCCAAATGAACTCTTAGTAACAGAGATTGTTAAAGACAATCGAGAGCTTTAAACTAAGCAGGAAGGGGAAGGGGGAGTGTCATATGGACTGGGGAATCAATCCTGTAAAACCTAAGCCAATGGATATCCAACCGGCCTAYGGTGGTGGGGAAGTACGGCTAGGGCATGATTATAGAGGATCCTCTCTCATGCCTCCTGGGAAAAGTTCAGCCTCGATTACCTGCCTGAAATGCTTATATACCAATGCACGAAGCATGGGGAATAAGCAAGACGAACTAGAGATCTGCGTGCGGTCCCAGCACCACGACCTAATAGGAATCACGGAAACGTAGTGGGATAGCTCTAACGACTGGAGCGCTGTCATGGAGGGCTATGTGCTCTTTAGGAAGGACARGSTGSGAAGGCRAGGTGGTGGAGTTGCTCTGTATGTGAGAGAGCAACTGGAATGCATGGAGCTCAACCTGGGAGTGGATGATGAGGGGGTGAAGAGCTTGTGGGTAAGGGTTAAAGGGCAGGCCAAC